AAAAAATTCGGGTGACTATTTTTTGTTTTTCGTTTTTTTTTTTACACGAAAGATTTTCGTCATTGTTGTAAATTTGTTAGGGAAATTTTAGGAGGTGGTGCTATAAAATTTTGAGAGGATGCATATAAAAGCGTTCTTCATCTAAAATCATTTCACAATTAATCGAGCAAATAATAGCTAATTATATATCTATCTCATCAAATTCGTAATTTTCTTTAACTTCATTCAATCCATCAATTTCTCTTTCAATCGATTCAATATTGTTGTATTTCAAATTCGAAAATTACGAATTGCTTGGAGCGTAATAAATAGTAATTGATTCTATTGTTCGAAGTAATCCAAACATGGTAATTTCCTTTATTATTTTTCTTATCATTTACTATTATATTAGTAGTAGTAGAAGTGATAATAGTTACAACATTTACCATTTATCATATATGATAATGATAACAACAAATATATATTACTATTATTTTGTATATTGTGTACAATGGTAGTATTGCCTAATGACTTCATTAATTAGTAATATATATCATGGATAACATCATTCCAGTAGTAATAGTGGTGATGGTATGTTTTCGCACTCTATAAATTTTAGAATATTCATGAAAAGTGCTAAGATAATTTAAATATAAGAAATGGAATATTAGAACATTAATTGTCAAAAGTTTTACAAGGAATTAACTTTTTTATCCGATCGAAAAAATTATGAAGTTATAAATGCAGTTCATTTCGGATTGCTACTAAAGTTTCCAATCGTTTACGAAAAAGTTTACAATTAATGGTTCAGTAATTTAGAAATAATAGCCAAAATTTCGGTGGTAAAATAAACGATTGTGGCAAATTTAATAATGTAATTACGAAATCTTACCTATTTTTAGTTAATTTGTTGCAAAAATATTGTGACAGCAAGTGACTGATCCATTTTGTATACATTTCAAAAAATTCCATTTTCATTCACTTTCATCTTCGCAATGAATTGGAATAAGATTCATTTGTAATCAAAATCATGACGAAAAAGGTGTGGAATTACTTAAAAAAGCAAAAGATCGGAAAAAATAGAAAGTATTTGATTTCAAATTAAATTAAAAACTGGTTATAGCAAAAACAAAAATTCTCAACAGGTAAAGTATCAAAGGCTTAGTTTTAAAATAAAATTTAAAGCTTGTTGCATCAAAAAAAAAAATAAAGTCTGCATAATGAAATTGTGATGGAAAAAAAATCTTTGATATGGTAAAATTGTGATGTAATTAATTAGAAATTAAATTGAGAGCATGTTGCATCGAGAAAAAAAAATTCTTGCAAGGGTGTACATAATTCAAATACTGAACGGATGTAAATTATACGGAAGATTTTTGTATATTGCATTTTAATAATACTTACATAATGTATAATTATTAAATGAATAAATTATGAAACGACTTTTTTTTAAAAAATTCTCTAAAAGCACCAATTTCATATTATGATTGCTAATTTTATTCCCTTTTGAATTAATTTCGAAGTTTTCTTTTTTTGAAATTATCCTCTAAGAGTATCATTTTCATATTAATTTGCAATCTGCATTTGCTAATATGCTTCATTTAATAATAATTCATTCTATTTTTCATATTAAATTAGAAAAAAGAATGATAGACTGAATGAGAAAAAGAATGTTGTAATATTGTTTTTCTATCTTTTTTTCTGCGAAATAGAAAGTATGAATTGTGGGAAAAATCAAAAAAAAAGGAGAAAAAAGAAAACACGACAAATTTGTTTTATACAATGACCACAGACGTAATTCATGGACATTGACATAAACAAATTTGATTGATTAAAATCGTAATTTTTTTTGATTGATTAAGATCGTGAAATTCTTCACTTAATTTTTTATCCCATCTAATACGATCAATTGTATTCTTCCAAATTACAATGATAAAATTGTAACCATTCACTCCAAATATTTCATAATTCAGAACGTAGAAAAATAAGATTGAAAAACCCAATTTTTAAATTACGAATTAAAACTTTTTAAATAAATGAAGAAAATATGAATTTGCAGAAATATCAAAAAAAAACTTATTCTGAGATGAAAAATAACAATGTTAAAAAAAATATGCCAGGTTGCTTTTTATTAGTCTTTAAATGAAATTAATTTAATGAAGTGAGATTGGGCTTAATTAATTATTATTATCCTGCAAATATTTTCTAAAATATGAACAATATTCAATATTACTGATTTTAACTATTCTTTTTCTCTTTCTCATTTTTTTGAGATTTTTTGAGCCTAAAAATTTCTTAAAAAAACATTGGAATTTTACAGAAGATTGCTCTTCTTTTTGTCTTCGCCTTACAAGGATATACAAATGCTTGCTTTGGTGGTGGATGTGGAGGACAAACACAATGTTGTTGCTTGAAATTACCACCGATCTGTTTACCAATACTAAATCTAGGCGGTTGCTGTGGTGGTTGCTGTTGTCCAGGACAAGGAGGTGGCGGTGGTATTGGTGGCGGGTATGCTTTATTATAACTTTATTTCAAATTATTGAAAGTAATTATCGCTCTAAAAGAAAAAAAATTAGCAATTTGCTACAATTAATCTATGATAACAGCATTTGGGAAACAAAATTTCATCAATTAGACCAATTAGATCACTTTAAATTCCGAAAATCTTTTTCAAATCTTTTTCTCATGGCTAAATTATCATTTGTAATTAAAACTTTTAATTTGATGGATATGATTAAGTTTTGCTAATACTTCTTCTGATATAAACTTCGCCAAACTGACATTTTCACCATTTTTTTATTTTGAATTTCGTTTGATACCCAACTTATAATATCACACATGATTAAAAAAATAACTGAAATCTATAAATAGCATTTGGGAAACAATATTTTATCAAATAGACCAATTAGATCTCTTTAAATTTCGAAAAAAAATGGCTACTTGGATGTTTATTATGCAGCCATCCTACAAACAAATTTAACAAAATAACTTTATTTCACAATTAGTTACTCATGATTTGTTATTTGTAATGCAATTTGGGTTTTATACTAAAATAAACTCAAAATCTACTTACAATACTAATTCACATCTTTCTTTAAACATTTTCTTTCAAATATTTTTTAACATTTAAAAAAAGAAAATTGAAGAAATATTTTATCATTTACATCTTCTTTTCATTCTTCATCCCATTTGTTTTATCAGTTTCATTTTCAACATACTCTTATTTCAGATATGTTTTACCACCAGGTGGAGGGTAAGTTATTTCTTTGATTTACTTTTCATTAACTAATGAATTGCTTTAGAATTTAAATCCTTTTAAAAGAAACAGCAAAAAAGAAACGACCGATATTATGTCATTTCACAAATGTATCACATTTTTCTAATCAATATCTCTTTTATACCACTGTAATGAAACTTTTTGCTTAAATTTTTAAAAATTTCAGATACGGTGTACCAAGAGGTGGTTATGCAGTTGGATAAAATTAATTTATTGGATCAGTTTTCATCGTGTTATTTGTAAATATGGTTCCACAATTGTAATTTTCTTCAGTTTTTCGCAAAAAATATTTTGCAATCATCTTTCAATGTTAACTGCTAGTTAGCTTCAAGATTCAATCGCGTCGAGAAAATTGAACTTTTTAAAGAACTTTGTCATTAAAATTTCAGAAGAAAATGGTCCAACATAATTTTGGTTGCTTTTATTTCTGACACAAATGCAAATTTATTTAATTCAACGAAAGACTTCCAGTGACACGAAACATTCTGTCAATCCGAATTTCTACAGAAAAATTGTTTGTGACAATTCAGTGAAAGGCTTCCAGTGACACGAAATATTCTGTTAATCCCCCAATTTCTATAGAAAAACTGTTTGTGACAGTATCATTTGCTTTTTTTCCATAATCAGTATGAAATTCTGTTTTACAATGTATTGCCATTCAATACAAAATGGGAAACGGACTAATTTCGATTTTTCGTTGTTTTTCGGAAAAGTTGTATGGAATCTGTTTGTCGCAGGTTGCCTACTCCTCAATGTCATATATTTTCTGGAAAAGCATTATATTTGAATTCTTAGCGTTATGCTGATTGTCTTTTTTAATTCCGGACAAAATTCCCGATTTGTCGTCCTGACAGTTCGAAAGACATACAGAATTGCAATATTATATTCAAATACAAAAGGTACAAATAATGTAAAACGATGTCAATTTTACAACTTTCCCTGAATGAAAAGTAATGACATCACTGGTCTAACTTACTTTTGGATGCTTTTATTTCTGGCACAAATGGGACTTTATGTAATTCAATAAAAGGCTTCCAGTGTTGGGTAATTGTTTTTCTGTTAAACTTGTTTCTCGGCGACACAGATTTATTCGAGATGTTATATTGTTCTTGCACAATATTACTAGTTAACAACAAGAAAAAGGATATAAAATATATATGTGCATTACACGATGAATTGGTGAGCAATGATGAGTTATACAGAAGGCAAATAATATGGTCAATTAACAAACTCCTTGTCGTTGTCTTGGACAATAATTTGACTGCCGGTTAGTCGACAGGTCGTTGAGTTGGGAATATGTTACGGGAAATGTATTTAACGAATAGAAGAATACCGTAGTTTGTTGTTCAATGGTGCGGATATGCGATGATGACATCGTTTGTGGTTTAGTCGCGGAAAATAAGAGAGGAGGAACTATCGTCTAATCGGTTGTGAAAAAAAAAAACTGAACTGTCTGTCTCGAGATTTTTTCATATATATATACATAATAAGGATTAGGAGAGGGACTTTGTAAGCTCCGTCGGGGTAATCATAGAGGTATGGCTAGCCTTTGGCACTATCCATTGTGTAGGTACTGAGACGTTTTTGTTATGTTTATTATATTTTATTATGTTAATTATTATGTTAATCCCAATTTCTATAGAAAAACTGTTTATGACAGTATTATTTGCTTTTTTTGCATAATTTGTATGACATACTTTCTGTTTTACAATGCAATGCTATTCAATGCAAAATGGAAAACTGAGATTAATTTCGATTTTTTTCTGAATCTTTCTAATCTTTGACTGATTCGATCATTTCACTATAGAATGTTAATATTTTCTTTCAGAATTCAGTCTACTGTCACAAACTGTTTCCTCCCTCACCAAATTCATTTCTACAAATTCTTCTACTCATTTTATAGTATTGAATAGTCATCGTAGCTAAAACAAAATGAACTTAATCTTCACTGAAGCAACCGACTTTGAGCCTAAATGTCATACATATTACTAATCATTTACTATCGTTATACATCAAAAGAAATAATGTATTCGTGGGACAAATTAACTTATCTTCTATATCTTATTATTCCAGATATAAATAAACTTAACACTCTACACCTTAAAAGAAGTAAGCTCAAAAATATCATAATGTTCCTGAGATAAATTAGCGTCTCCTACATTATCCCTTCTATATCGCAATATTTCGGGAATAAGTAAATTTAATCGTCTATATTTTAATATTACATAGATAAACAAACTCAACTTTTATAGCATGATATTCCTGGGATAAATTAACCTCTATTACGATATCCTCTCTATACCGTAATATTCCGGAGATAAACTTAATAATAATAATCCGGGAATAAATGAACTTAATCTTCTATGTTGTAATAAATAACTTCTATCTTTGTCACACAAAATTAGAAATGCCAGCTGTTTAGCGATAACTGTTAACGGGATGAAACATTATAGTCAAACTGAGTGAGTGAAACTTTTTTTTTTTTTCAGAGAAATACGGTGGTATTGTCCGTATTGTTGGGCAAATCGCTGGATTTTCTCGTTTCACTGTTCGATGGGAGCTTTTTATGTGCTTTTTTTCTTAACTTTTTTTGCTTTTCATTCCTTGTCGAATAAAAAAAAATTTACCATTGCACACTGTTCAATAATTTGTCAATTTTAAGGTAATTAAAGAATTTGCATGAACGCTTATTTTATTGCTAAAATTCGATTT